AGTTCATCGAGCTCTGCACCGTCGTCAAGGACGCGCTCGGCGACAAGGTCGAGAAGGTCGTCGTGTCGAACCGCATCACCGACTCACCGTGTGTCCTCGTCACCGGTCAGTTCGGGTGGTCGTCCAACATGGTATGTCATTCAGCGTACTTGCAGTCGACGGTGGGCTAACGCGACGTACAGGAACGGATCATGAAAGCGCAGGCTCTGCGGGACTCGTCGATGTCGTCGTACATGGCGTCGAAGAAGACTCTCGAGCTGAACCCGTCGAACGCGATCGTCAAGGAGCTGAAGCGGAAGGTCGCGGAGGACAAGGCCGACAAGTCGGTCCGGGACCTCACGTTCCTGCTCTTCGAGACTGCTCTGCTCACGTCTGGGTTTGCGCTGGATGAACCAACCTCATTCGCCAAGCGCATCCACCGCATGATTTCGTGAGTTTCCTTTGTTCCTGCCGTTGCTTTGTTTTGTCCGGTCGCTGATACCGCCGTGACAGTCTGGGTCTCGATGTCGATGAGGACGAGGAGGAGACGCCAGCAGCTGAGGAGGATGATGCACCGCCGCCATTGGATGGCGCGTCGACGTCGGCGATGGAGGAGATCGACTGATTGGGTGGTTTCATTTACTTGCACGCTGTCTTGGTTTTTTTTACGCACACAGTACAAATCAATTATTGCTTTCTCTCTCTGTGACTCGGGACTGCTGATGTGCAAGTGTGAAGAGTGATCGAGACAATGGAAGCACGTGATGAGCGTGGGGAAGCGGAGTCAAGACGCGTTAGACGCGTGTCAGCGATTCTCGATTCTCTCTCCGTCTCCCATTGTTCTTCTGCCATGATCACCCCCGCGCCCTGATTCCCAAATCGATCCCAACCCATAAAGACCCTCACGACCCCCATTGTATCCTTACTGCACTCCACCATGGCCCCCATTGTAGCGACTCGCCCGTCTGTGGCCCAGCCCCAATCCGTCTCCGCCACTATTTATTGCTCCTCTCTGGTGCGTTCGCTCGGTCCCGCCCGTCGTTCACGCGCTTATCATGCGCCACAGATGACCCCGCCGCCTCTCGCCTCTCAACAACCCCTGCAGTCGCCTGCCCAGTTGCGCTCGGTAAGCCCGCGTCTTTGCTCTGCAGTGGCCACCGCTCATCGCTTTTCGCTCCAGCCTGCACGGTCGCTTTCCAGTGCCCCTCAAAGGCGCCGCACTGCCCGCTCGCGTCGCCGCCACTGTCCGCGCGCTGAGTGCCACGTTGAGTCCACGCTCCACGCGTTCGACACCCTCCCGTGGATATCGGCGCTGGACTCTCCGCCCGACCCACTTAACCCCTGGGACTTCGCGGACCTGTCCCAGATTGACGTCGAGGAGCCGCCGAGCCGCTGTGGTGATCCCATGAACGGCGAGCTGTCTCCCTGCTCCGGGCCCATACGCCGTCGAAAGACGTCCTTGCGCTCGAATCCCCTCGCGCCCAGGTCGCCAAACCTACATGACCTTAGCTTCCATACGCCATCCCCACATAATCACTCACGCGTCCTCTTTCACAATCTTATGCCCGTGTTTTCTTGCGACCACGCTCTTAATACGCGCACCGCTGAGCGTTGACCATCTACTCTGCATTCGCCCACACATAATCTGATCTCGGCTCCGCAACGCACCATATGTCCGACTGTAATCTCGCAATCCCGTCCTCGCTATACATATATCGCAAACCGCCTCGCTCGGTGTATTCGCAATCTCCTCATCTACATCATCATTTATTGCTGTCCGACAAACGAATCCCAGGATATCCACATCTGCATTTTACCAGTATCCTCTTCTTTTTGCTTTCCTCGCACTTTTGTTGCTATCTCAGCATAAGGCTGATTGTTCTGAACCTACCATGCTACATACTTACACTTACTTCGCTGACTGCAATTGCTATGACTCGTCTGTATCCCACTTATATTACATATGTGCCCAATAACTCAGGAGTAAAATTAGATCCTGAACTGTTCCACCACCATGTCCGACCCGCGAGTCATCAACTTTGGAGCGGGCCCGTCTGCACTGCCAGAATCTGTGCTTCAGGAAGCGACGCAGGGCCTGCTCAACTTCAATGGTACTGGCATTGGGATCGCAGAGATCTCCCATCGCTCAAAAGAGTTTACCGCCTTCCTCGCCGAGCTCGAGTCGCAGATCCGCACCCAGCTTGACGTTCCCGCGACCCATAGCATCCTGTTCACCCAGGGTGGGGGCGCCGCGCAGTTCTCGGCCGTTGTCCTCAACCTCCTCGCGCGCCACCGCCTGCTGCACCCTGACCTGCCTGACGAGGAGCGCGCACTAGACTATGTCATCACCGGCTCGTGGAGCAAAAAAGCCGCCGAGGAGGCACGCAGGCTCCGCGGCGGCACGGTGCACGTCGCGGTAGACGCGCGCCAGTACTCCAAAGACACCAAGTCGTTCGACAACATCCCCACGCACGACGCGTACACGTTCTCGCCTGCGCCTGCGCTCATCTACTACTGCGAGAACGAGACCGTTGACGGCGTGCAGTTCGCAGCCGACCCCGCCGCGCCCGCGTCCTTCCCGTTCCAGCGTCTTCCCGAGGGCTCGCTACTCCCACTCGTCGGCGACCACTCCTCGTCGTTCATGTCGCGCCCGATCCCGCGCCTCGCCGATCACGCCGTCGTGTACGCCGGCGCGCAGAAGAACATCGGGCCCGCGGGGCTGACGATCCTCATCGTGCGCAAGGACTGCCTCGTCGACGTCGACGCGGCCGCGGTGCTCGGCGCGGCGCCCGTGCCGCTCACCATGGCGTACAAGACGCTCGCGGACAGCGCGAGCGTGTACAACACGCCGCCGGTGCTCGCGCTGTACATCTCGGGCCTCGTTCTCAAGCGGTCTGCGGCGCTCGGTGGTGTGGCGTACTACGCAGCGGCGAACGGGCGCAAGGCGGCCAAGCTGTATGGCGTGGTCCGGGAGGGCGAGGCGCGCGGCGTGCTGCGTGCAAAGGTCAAGGAGGGCTCGGGGAGCATGATGAACGTGGTGTTCGACGTGCTCGGGGACGGCGCGGAGGCGCGGTTCATTGCGGGTGCGGAGGCGCGCGGGATGAAGGCGATCAAGGGGCACAGGTGCGTGCGTTTCATCGCGGGCGGTGCGCTTTCGCTGAACATGGGCTTTCAGGTCGGTTGGAGGTGAGGACGCGTCTGCTGGGTTTCATGATGACGACTCTGATCTGACTTTCGGTTTCGCTCTAGGCATACGCATTTCCCTGTACAACGCCATCACGGAGGAGCAGACGGATCTGCTGGTCGAGTATATCAAAAGCTTCATAGCTCAGTGAGTAGCAGGAGGGGTGTAGGTGCGGACGCGCATGTATACAACCGTGCGTTACGTTCAAAGAACTCAAATGAAGAAATGTATTTTGTCTGTGGCTTGAAGTGTTTGAGCACTGTGAGTTGAGCTGAGAATTGTATTAGGTTTGCGTAGTGGATTGTAGATGTGTATGTTTGGGATAATGAGACTTAGTCTGCAGAAGCATTCCAAGGGTTTTTTTTTTTGGAGTGTAGATGTGTATGCTGACATGTCAAAATTGTCTCTCACAGCACATCAGTAATATAACATTTTACTTGTGACTTTTTAGACTTTTTCGCTTGTGAGAAAAAAATAAGAGTGCAGAAATGATAACTAGATGCCAATGCACCCACTGAAAAAAAAAAAATTGATTGAACTTGTTGGCAAGAGGACATAGCTTGTGGGCTTGTGGCTTGTGGGACTTTTGATGCCCGTACGAGCTCGTACAAGCGCCGGCAAGTAAAATGTTAAAAGCCCGATTGGCAGGCAAGCAAGAAATATGCAACATGTTCCCTGATAGTACAACTTGACATAATCCATGGTGAAGTTACAAGAACATGATGTCCGACCGCAAGACATATTTGACGCCACGTAGAACGGGGGATCCCTCGTGCAGCATACATTCTCTTCCGTGGCTGATTGACGCGTCAAGAAACGATCATCCCATGCTTGACAACTACATACCGATGCAGGAGAGCTGTTCCGCGCGTCAGAGGCGCCTTTATAACCTCCGAGGGTCGGCCTTTATCGTCCTGATAAAACAAGGTCTAAAGAAGGCAGTTCACCTTCAGAGAGTCGACGAAGGATTATTATACCTCTCCCCCCTCAACTCCATCCTCATACCCCGTCAGGTAAAGCAATAGAGTCCATTCGGACTTTGCGCCACTCATCGGGTCGCGGCAATCGTCGTCATAATGCGGCCTGAATTCGACCAGTAAGCAAAGAACCGACGTTTACGCGAAACAACCTACCCAAAGTACTGCAGTGGAGTATACTTGTACACACGTATATTCGAGTTGAACGAGTGCGCCACGCGCGCGACGCCTGCGTTAGCCGCGCCCCTGGTTGGCCTTGCAGCAGGAAGGAATGCGGGGAGGTGCGGTACGAACACGGCATGCAGCCGCTGCGCGAAGTCGACGGAAGTTATTGAGAACCGGTCTGCGCGCTGTGAGGCGCAGGGCACGGGCCATCGCATCACGGAGCTTACGGTTGTGCCTCTCGGCCTCGCCTCGTTTCTTGGGTGGCGTGAGTTCCAGCGGTAGACTGTCGATGAATTTGACATAAGATTTGCACTCGACGGGAGAGAATGCGTCCTGCACCAGGTGAGTCAGTTTTCTTGCATTTAAGTTGGCACCAGAGCCTGTAGAGCGGACGTACGTCAATGAGGATAATCTGGTTTTCGAGGAGGACTCGGCACTCTAGTTCGGTCTTCGGGGATATGTTCGGGAAGACGACAGAGTCGGGTTTGCTCGGGGCAGTGGTTGACCTTGCATCCTTGTCTTTCTTGCCCATGCTGAGGGCCAGGGCAAGATGTTCAAGTCCACGGTTAAAGTGACTGGAATATTCCAGGAACCGGTGGACACTTAGTAGCTTGGCGGGTACTACTTATGTACAACTTTAATTATACCCAACCGTCACGGCTGGATTATAAGGGTAGGAAAACAAACACAACCAGTGCTCCCTGGCCCAGTTGGTTAAGGCACACGACTGTTATGGAGTCATGGGATTCGGCGGATATATGCAGTCCTCGTAATCCAGTGTCTCTGTGATCGTGGGATCGAGAGTTCGAGTCTCTCGGGAGCAGAAATACAACTTTTTGGCGCTTAAATTCTGTTCTTCAGCTTTGCGGTCCCCGCCTTTTGCCGGAGTAGAATTGCACTTGGAACCATTTTTCCGTTTCGTTTTCGGCGCAGCCTTGAATTTTTATTCATTATGTGCAAATGTAGTTCTCTTGCATGATCATGATGTAGTAACGGACTTCGAGTTGCGCCACACTCCACCACGCTAGCGTTGGGGGTCTGACGCCATCCGTGGCGATGGCGTTGTGGGCCGCAATATGCTCAGAAGTATCCACCGTATCCATTGCGAAGGTGTAAAAGCCCACCACTCTGGCTGTGGAAAGTCACGAAAACCTCACTACTTTTCATAACTCTTACTCATGTCCGCTTCATCCGCAAACGACTGGACCTCTACCGGACATCCCAAGTTTGTCTTTCATCTCTCTCGGATTGAATTATGCACACTGACTATCGTTTTCTTTGCAGCCAGGCCACTGGTCAGTTCCATAGTGTTAAGGGCACCGTCGTTGAAACCATTGGCAACATGTCACATCATGGCAACAATCGGGCGAGGAGGAGCATGCCGCCGGCGAAGCCCAGTACAACGCCGCCCGCGCCAAGGGCTACGTTGAGGGCGCCGCCGACCGAGTCACTGGCAAGGACTTGATTATCGGTGCTGTAACCGGTGACAAAGCACAGCAGGCTGAAGGTATTTTTTTGTTTGCTTCATATGCCGACTCGCGTTTATTCCTCCCCAGGTAACAGCAAGCATGACAAGGGACAAGCCCAACAAAACATCAACGCTCAACCGTTGCCTTCACCGCCTCCACGATTTACACAGATACCAAGCTGTATCATTAGCAAATACTTACGTTATTATCAAATATGAGGGCAGTTCAAGTCGCCGTCATGAAACTCCATGGCTAAACACCTCTTCTAGGATCGCAGTATGAGCAAAGAATGAGCTAGCAAGTGCGGGCTGAAGTGGAGAATTACCAGGTTTGGATTCCGGCGGCAACGATTCCCAATGCGGAACCTTCAGTTTTCCCTTTGTCCTCGTCACCTGATACACTGTGCCTCGCTACCCAGTCAAAACGTCCATTCAGATGCGTATAAAAGTGCTGGAATGGCTATGCCGGGTGGCATCTTACCCTTTCCGCACCTTCATCGTTCAGCCCTGACTTCCGCTCCTTGAAATGTATGGTAACCCAATGCACGGCAAACTAAATAATAACTCCTTGGGCTCATTCTACGGCAGCCCAGTGGCGATGCATCTGGACCCGCGATCGACCCGCCACCGAGAATGTCTGCTAAAAAAACGGCTTGGGCCGAGGTTCAATATGGACATCCGTCGCACCACAACGTTTACCCACCCGTAACAAACGCTCAGCATCAGCCGCCTCAACTCTCCGCAGACAGCAGGGCCCTGCCAAACTTGGCGATGCAAGCCCAAAAGAATGCCTGGAAATTGGCCACTCCGAACGCATGGCCCAGGGGCCGCCTGTACAGCCAACTTAGCCTGCGGATGTTCCATCTCACGTTCCGCTGGGTATGCTCTATGTCGCTGGTATGGCGGTTCCACACGGTCGCAAAATCGTGGGACGATACCAGTGCCCTACACCTGCCTGCCCTCCGCAATACGCTCCTCGTCGCTCGGAGCATATGACCGTTGGTCCTAGTGAAGCAAATCCTCGTCCTGGCCAGCAAAGATCGCGACCTATGCAACGAACACCTTGTCATTATCAACAAACTCCTCAAACCTCAGGTCCCAAAATACGCCCGGCGGGAAATAAGAAGCCCCCCCCCCCCCCCCGACCCGTCCAAACTTGGAGTGCATCGTAATACCCGCGGCCAAGCGGCAAATAGGTGTAACGTCCCACCGCCTCCGGCCTCCATTGACCTGGACTTCGCAGTTAAGGTCGTGTGCATTCGCTTCTTTTTTTCTGTTTCCATGGCTGATTTTACGTGCAGGTGGGCGGCAAACCGCGGCGAGATCAATCCACCTGGATCGACGGACGGGTGGAAAAAGCCGATTTTTCCATCATCAAGGTCAATACATACCCCTGACGTGTATCTCTTGCAGAATTGTAAACCTTCCCCTCGTTATATCGTATCATACAAGGATGTTACCTCGGATGTTCTGCCCGCACTTGAGTGAGCTAAAGGCTGGCGAGCCCGATGAGCCATGGAGTAAGCCTGTTGCAGAGGGTTTTGAGGTATGCGGAGAGCATCCGGCCGTTTTTCTGTTCTAAATTTTCCCAGCAGCGCCACATATACGCCTGCATTCCGTCGCAGATTGAAGTAAATGGAATATCGGACGAAATGATGTGGACCGTATACTTTGATTAATTATGGCAGACTCCTCCAGACGAGAACGACCATGTCAACATTCTTATTCTCATGGGCCAGTCTGCCAATCTATTGTTCGACAACTTCCCCCTCAAGTACACGCTTCCTTTCTGCCGTTCCGCACAAGATGGTGTGGCTAAGCTAGGATACTCAGTGGCAGGAGATGAAGATCACCCAAACTGAGCAAATAATGATATGCGAACTATATGTATGCTATATGCGTTGTATGTGCGCTATGAACCGTCGAGTCCTATGAACCCCCAATGAGACATTAAGCAAGATCCATCCATCCATCTAAAGATAAAACGGTATGCCATATACAACCGGCGCCGCTCCCGTAAGATACTTCAACTTGCACGAGTTCCTCGACTGTGCTACCGCGGCTACCAGCGATATCGGCTTTTCCCGACTACCCCCACTAGCATCCCAGCTACGCACGCCATCCGCGCTGAGCTTCAGCTTCTCGAACACGGACTGGGAGAAGATGTCGATATCCCGGTCTGTCACGTCCCAGATATTTGCCACCAACGTTGGGCTAGAGCATATTTTAGTCTCTTGCACCAATTCAATTTTTGAACTCACCAGCCAGCCAGCATATAATTGTACGGCGTCCCCACGCGGTCAAAATCTCCCATTTCCCGCAAAGAACCCGAGGAACACCCCCACAGCATAGTGGCCGCACAGCGCGGTAGGTTACGGATCTGGTGCGATCGGATGTATTGCTCCGCGCCTCCATGCCCGAAGTAGCTTCAAGTCAATTGTTAGTGAAGCACCAGTGCACCTAAAAAGTCACTCACACAACGAGATCCTTCTTCCTCAAAGCATCAACAAATTGCTGCTCGCTTGGCGCCTGCCCAACAACGCCTTCCCAGCCAACCTTTTCCATGTCCGCAAGCCAGCCTTTAAATCGGCCCTCTGTCCGTACAAGATCACCGCTGGGGTTCAGAACGCAGTAGCCTTTGTGTGGATCCACAACTGCGCGGTCGGCCACGGCAGGAGCAGGACTGCGAACCATCCATCCCGCAAGCTGCACTCGATCGAGCAAAAAGTCGACACTGGGAATCCGGCTGACGCTCTTTCCTCGCAGGATCGGAATGCTCTCCCACGGCAAGCCCTGCACGTTCTTGTCCAGAATCAAGAACATATGCTCGTCCTCGACTTTGGTAATTGCTGGCCCTGCACCTTTCCTTCGTCCTGCCATGCGCGCAGCATGCTCCTCTAGCACACCTCGTAGATCGACCACTACTTGATCTATGTCTACCTCTGCGATCGCGACAGGGACGCCGTGGAACTGATACAAGTCAAGCATGAAATACGCCAGGTCTTCAAGCTCCTCATCTCGGCATTTGGGGGACAGTGTGGAGAAACATTCGAGCAGCACGTCGTCGAGGGTGACCTTACTAGGAATCTGACTTTCCGAAGGTAATCGTTTGTGCCCGTTGGTTTTTGGCTTCACCTTCTTGTTCTGGAACCGGAGGCTGCGGTGGAAGACTTTGTCAAACTGAAGCCGTAGGTCGGAGATAGCTGCATTAGTCAAATTGACGCGCGGACTGAGGATGGTCTGGGAAAGAAAACCATGAGCACAATTCGAGCCAGGAACTGCACGCCAACCTTGAATGCACCGAGCCAACAAAACTCGATGTTCTCGAGCAATTCCCGCATCCGGGTGTCCAACGCAATGCGCTCTTTCCACCATCGGGCTCTCGCCTCAGGATCATCTTTGATATGCACCGCTCCTCTTGTCCCATCATCGCTAAGCTTCACGATATCCTTGAACTCACGAAGCGCATCCTCGAAAGTAAGATGTTCGTCCTCTTCGTTGTCTCTTCGTCCTTTGAGCGGCACACAGAAGACCAACGGAGTCGCTTTGACATCTCCACCGCGCTGTCTGGTGACGAACAAGGTGCTTTTATCGTCGGTGACGCTGAGATGCACAACTGTCCAGTTGTCAGGCACACCTGACATCTGTGACGCTGAGAGGGTCGAGATGTCAGGTGCCTGACCCTGATATTTGCTTCGGATGGATTCCCAATAGTCCTGCTGCGACTTCTCATCAACGTCGCCCTCGTCATCAGAGACATCTAATTCGGATCCGAAACTGTTGTTGAGGGCGAAACGCAAAGGAACCTCGTTTTGTAGCCGAGGAAGTGGAGACCCGTTTCGGTTTAAGAGCGGCCACTGCAAGTCGTCTGTTGTCGATGTCGGGAACTTGTGCTGAATCGCCTCCAACATCTCTCTGCCAAGTGTGATTGCGGTGGACACATCCAAAAGACCGGAGACGAGAACTGGGTCCTGATTTCCTGACTTGCCAAGGGAGGTTTGTAGGGCCCGAATCAATGCTAATGAGACCACAGCATTCCGAACCCGCGGCACGTCTCCCCGGCGGGAAAAGAGGGTAAAGTCTAACCAGAACAGTTGTTCCGCACGATCAAGGGTGTGAAGGATATCATGAGTCGACGGCGATAACGATGGGACTTTGTCCGTGGACATTCCCATCGGAAGGGCAATGGCTATAGCAATGGTATTGAGATGGTGCTGGTCAGAACGCAGTGGACTTACTAGATTCAGCCAAAGAGCTGAGGAACATATCGGTACGAAAGCGTCCATACACTTCGTGGAGAGTTAACTTCGCCATTAGCGCATTTTCTTGAGCCTACATGGATGATCAGTAAGACCG